GGAACGATGGGATTCTGAGGCAATCAATGCTCTGAGGCACGGGGAGAGGACGCGGCAGGATTGATGCAGCAGGCAGCGCAGCTTCTCCTGCTGCTGCGGCGACTCCTCGTATATGCCCTTGGCTAGCGCAACAGATGAGGGGTTGGGCAAACGGAGAGAGCGGATAGAAAGAGGGGTGAGAGGGTGGAGACTCACCATAGAGCGCTGCGTCGAAGTTGATCTCTGGTAGTCTCTCCTGCGCGCGCCCGGCCGTGTGGGATACACGCAGAAGAACGCGCCCACCAATAGCGCCGCAGCAAGCTCCTGCGTTATAAGCACAAGCCCCGGCTGCTGCGGCCTCAGCAGCTGCAGCGTCATCTGCGTCCCCCTCCGCCACTTCTCACTCCCCCCGCTCCCGCTTCCGCTTCCGCTTCCCCCGCTTCCGCTCCCCCCGCTGCTGCCGGATTGCGCTGCGCGCTTGGGCTGCCCGAGCCACGCTCCGAGCCTGCTGGGAGACGAGGCTCGGGAGACGGAGAGCGAGCGAGGCCATTCGGGGCAGCGTGAAGAAGAAAACTCCTGAGATTCCTCCTCGGAGAGAATCTGCAGGTACGTTTGGGGCGGAGGGGTTAGGGGACAGGGAGGAGAGGGATGAGAATAGCGTTCAAAGCAGCGAGGGTTGACATGAATAGACTCGAAGAAGGACGTTGGCAAATGCACATTTCCACATTCCTGATTCGACTTGAAAACCCCGCGTACCAGACGAGGTTGTTGAACTCACCTCGTCGAAGAATTCAGCGAGGCCTTTCGCGAGCCGAGGGTTACCATCGCTGAGACTCAGCTCCCTGCGAATGTCGATTATCGCGTCGGCTAACGTCTCGCCACTCGCCACCTGCGCCGCGGACAGGGAGACACCGGAGATGTAGAACACGAGTATGAGAGCACGCGTGAAATAACGCAGGAAACTGGAGTTTGGAAAACTTCGTGAAACAACCAGCGCAAGCTGATGCTGATTCCAGCAAGCGCACCTGGCTAGCAGCGGGGCCACGCGCAATGGCGGCGAACGCATAGAGGACGGTCCCGGGGCCACGCATACTCTCTCCGCGTGCTGCTCACGCTCGCACTGTTGTTGTTATTGTTGTTCGTCTGATTGTTGTTATCTTTCGCTGGCTGGTTACTGCTGTCAATCACTCCCGTCGCGTACAGCCGCGACGCCGCTGTGTTCGCCGCATCCGTGTTAAACCCCGCCGGGCCGGCACCGCTGAAGCCGTAGCTCGTGCCTGCGCCGGCAACACACCGGCGGCACGCCGGTTGTACGCGGCTCTTCGCGGCTCCCGCCGAATCCCGCGTCCGACGTAGTAGCGTGCTCAGGCTCGGTGCGGGCCGAAGGGAGGAAATACGAGAGATCTCTTTTCAGGAAACATGGCGGAATGCGTAGCTATGGAAGGAAAAGCTTTATACTGGAAAGATTTGAAAAGCTTGTTATGGCGAGCTTCATCGAGAAAACAATGGAGGTTACGACGGAAAGACGTATTTATGGGGGTGTGATGAGGGGAGTTGAAATTTGGTAACCCAGCGAAAGCTTCGTTTGAAACGTCCTTGAAAAAATGGAGAGCGATCAGTGTCGGAAGAAAAGACTAAGTGCAGAGATTATTAACTACACTATGATCAGCCCTAATCAGAATAATTCAAGGCAAGCAATCCACACTTTGACGCCTTTTGCATCGATCAATCGACAATAAGCGTTCAAGCAAAGACTGCTAACAAGAGAGCCAAGTTAATGCGAGTCAAATGAAAGACAGCTTCATCTGGGTTTGTCTGCAGACCATGTAGGAAACCCTCATTGGAACCTCGGAAACGCTGATGTGCTGCTGCAGGGAGCAGACTGTTTGATGTGGGCTCTTTGAATGTCTTGAAGATCAGAAGGAAACGAGATCCCTGAATGGAAGGTGAGAGTGACAGGAGGAGGAAAGAAAGCGATGAGGAGGGAAGAAAAAGGTAAAGAAAGTGGATGTGCGGATTGGTGGTTATCGTTGATGAAGAAATCTCAACAGGTGCACCATCGCGGACAGTGCGGGCCGATCGAAAAAGGTCATCCAGGTCACATGAAAGTATCGGATGAGAAGATCTACGCCGGCTTTTGTGTGTCAAGAAAGTGAAAAGTGCAATGAAAAGCGCATCTGCTTGGTCCCAACCATGAGATATTTCCGACGTGTGCCACGTCACCTGTCAGCTATTTTCACGTCCCGTAGCAAACAGCAGGGCGCAGTTGGGCATCTAAAACTATTTATCTTTATGTACTCGGAATGAAGTTCCTCGTTTTTATACACGTCGGAAAGTGCCGTTGAATCCATGTCATATTCTATATCTGTATGTGCAGGGTCTCACTATTTATTGTACAACTATTCCTCCTAGTGTAACACTTACATTATGTCAGTTACGTGTACATGATCGCGGATGTCAGGTTCGCTTGTGTCACCTCGCTGGTGGTCGGTCGGTGTGGAACATATGTGTTGGAATTCAGTGACTGGTCGAAGCGATGCGCACAAGGTGTCACAGAAAGCGTTCGCAAGGCTGAGGGGGGACTAGACCAGCTCGGTCGCGGAAGCGGGGACTGCCGTGACTGCGCACGGCACCGCTCTGCGCCTCCCTTTTTCCACCAAGGGGAACAAAACACAGCCCTTGGCGGAAGAATGGACAGCTTTTGCGCGGAATCTCCGGAAGTTGCAGCTGACATTGGTGAAGCAAGGCGGAGGATTACAGACAAAAACATTTCAAGCCCAGCCCGCGCGGAAACATCTGCAGAATCGCCTCTTTTCCGCCGTCTTTCAGCTAACGCACTTTGTGAAATGAGCGGAAAGTATGGGTTTGTGGGAGCATGGCGGAAACTGTACAGTTCACAAATACAATGGAGGTGAATCTTCTCGGCATTCTCTAGGACAAGCTACAGCACCCATTCCCATTTGTCGGTCCTTTTGTTCAGGGAGATGACACCCTGTAACAGCTCAAGGTGACCTATATGTTGGTTCTGATCTGATGTGAGCTATTGGGTAGCTTGAGCTTTTGGTCTAACGATGATTGGTTCTGTCCCTAACTTCAGTTCCTTTCATCTCTCTTGACCGCTTGTTGGCGGAATCACTTGCTATACGCGCCGCTCCTCCTACTTCTAGGACAATCTTAAAGAATCGATTACCCGCGTAGTTAAGCATCCGCTTATCGTCCGCTTCATTCTCTTAGAACCCATTGTCTGGATTATTTCGCAATGGGTCGCATAGTAGGTCGCGGAGGCTCAGATCCTTATTCGAGCGACGTCGAGATGCCGTCGTCTACGAGCCTCCGCTCCTCCTCCTCTCTCTCCTCCACTCCCTCCGCTCCGCTCGCTCACTCGCGCTCCGGCGAATACCCGTACGCTCCTTCCCATCCCGCCATCGTGTCATCTCATAACGAGTACGCTGACGACAGCCACTCCGCGTATCATCAAGGGGGTCAGTTCCACTCGTACGCATCTGGCAGTACGATCGTACCGTACGCGTACCCTCCTCCTCCTCCGCCTGAATACCCCTCCGGAATCAACCCAGCAGCGTACCCCCCTGTTGTTCCACCTTCAAACCCTCGGGATCCTTCTCGGAAACCGCGGTGGTATAGGAAGGTGCCATGGCTGCGCTGACCGTATTAATCGCCTGCATAGTAGTCTTATTGTGACCATGGCGGTGAATGATTGCCCGTCGAAGCCGCACCCGCAAGGCCAGAGCTGCGTGCTGCCTTGGCTGGGTCGCTTCTCCTTCGAGCCGCTTAATATCAACCCTCTCTTCGGTCCAACCGCCTTAACGTAAGCGACCTGTGACTTACCACCCTACCCCCTTCCTCCCTCCCTCCCCCACAAACCCCCCACCCCGCCCCCTTCCCCCTCCCCCCCGCCACCCTCTTCCCCTCTAGCCCGGTCTTTGCTCTTTCGAGTATATCACTCAGACGTCTCTAATGGGTGTTTCGAAGCTGATCATTGCGCGTCTGTCGCGTATCCGTCTGGATGTCGTCCTCACCTGCCGTCGTCGCAGCCCTCTAAGCTTCACAACATGGGCGCGCTCAACACTAACCTGGTTACCAACTACGTTTGAGTCATCTAAAGAATGATTTCGCGTAAAACATGTCTTCGTCACATCCATACCCCACCATATGTGTGACCTCCCGTCGTCGTCGCAACCCTCCAGGCTTCAGGACATGGGCGCGCTGAACAGTAACCTGGTTACCAACTACCACCAAGGCTGGCGGCTGGTAACGGCCATGTGGTTACACGGCGGCGTGGTGCATCTCGTGTGTAACCTCCTCGGCATCGCCTTCCTGCTCAACCGCCTCGAGAAGGAGTTCGGGCTGTGTTCGTGCGTGGTGTGGTGTGGTGTGGTGTGGTGCGGTGTAGTGGTGGTGTGGTGGTATGGCGTAAGGCGAGATGGTTGGGGGAAAGGGGATGGACTGATGTTGTGTGGTGGAGGTAGGTAATTGGGTGGGGAAGGGAGGGGGAGGGGGAAGCGGGGGGAAGGGGGGGGGAGAGGGGGGCCTGGACCGGGTGCGAATCAACGGGCGAGGAGGGGATTGAGGGGAAATTTATGGGGGGAGGGCTTGGTGCGCACGTAGGTGCGGGGAGGGGAGGAGGGATAGATTCAGGTTCTCGAAGCACATATGATCCTTCAATTCGTGTAACAGCAAACATTCACCATGCTGCATACTCTGTGCCCCTTTGCGCCATGCTCCCTCTGCTGTCCGCTCCGTGTACTCTCCTGTGCTTCTCCGTGGTAGGGCGACCGACGGCCATCTACCTTCTCAGTGGGTTCTTTGCTGCCGTCTTCTCATGCCTCTTTCTCGACACACAGGTACGACCACCCGCTATGGCTTGAAAAAACTTTAAACAGATGAGAAATCCACCTAAACACACGCAGTGCAGTGACTCTGTAATATGCGCCCCTCTCCTCCCTGCGTCAATAGTCATTTTGCTCCTACAAGTGACGCCAGCGAATGCTTCATATCAAATTCAGAGAAGGTGCTTGTGTGGATCATTCACCCTTGTTTTCCTTGTTCATCCCCCTCACCCCTTCTCTCCCCCTTCTACCCACCCACCCACCCAACCTCACCCCTTCTCAATTCTCTGATTTTACCTGGAATCAACATTGATTCCCTGCCCTCAGATCAGCGTGGGTGCATCTGGAGCGTTGTTTGGGCTGGTGGGTGCGTGCCTGTCGGAACTGCTGATCAAATGGAAGCTCTATGACAACAGGGTATGGCATTGGGTGCTTGCTTTCTTTGATGAGTAGTTCATTTTGTTGACTCGAGATTCAACTCTGTTTGGGCTGGTGGGTGCGTGCCTGTCGGAACTGCTGATCAACTGGAAGCTCTACGACAACAGGGTATGGCATTGGGTGCTTGCTTTCTTTGATGAGTAGTTCATTTTGTTGACTCGAGATTCAACTCTGTTTGGGCTGGTGGGTGCGTGCCTGTCGGAACTGCTGATCAACTGGAAGCTCTACGACAACAGGGTATGGCATTGGGTGCTTGCTTTCTTTGATGAGTAGTTCATTTTGTTGACTCGAGATTCAACTCTGTTTGGGCTGGTGGGTGCGTGCCTGTCGGAACTGCTGATCAACTGGAAGCTCTACGAGAACAGGGTATGGCATTGGGTGCTTGCTTTCTTTGATGAGTAGTTCATTTTGTTGACTCGAGATTCAACTCTGTTTGGGCTGGTGGGTGCATGCCTGTCGGAACTGCTGATCAACTGGAAGCTCTACGACAACAGGGTATGGCATTGGGTGCTTGCTTTCTTTGATGAGTAGTTCATTTTGTTGACTCGAGATTCAACTCTGTTTGGGCTGGTGGGTGCGTGCCTGTCGGAACTTCTGATCAACTGGAAGCTCTACGACAACAGGGTATGGCATTGGGTGCTTGCTTTCTTTGATGAGTAGTTCATTTTGTTGACTCGAGATTCAACTCTGTTTGGGCTGGTGGGTGCGTGCCTGTCGGAACTGCTGATCAACTGGAAGCTCTACGACAACAGGGTATGGCATTGGGTGCTTGCTTTCTTTGATGAGTAGTTCATTTTGTTGACTCGAGATTCAACTCTGTTTGGGCTGGTGGGTGCGTGCCTGTCGGAACTGCTGATCAACTGGAAGCTCTACGACAACAGGGTATGGCATTGGGTGCTTGCTTTCTTTGATGAGTAGTTCATTTGTTGACTCGAGATTCAACTCTGTTTGGGCTGGTGGGTGCGTGCCTGTCGGAACTGCTGATCAACTGGAAGCTCTACGAGAACAGGGTATGGCATTGGGTGCTTGCTTTCTTTGATGAGTAGTTCATTTTGTTGACTCGAGATTCAACTCTGTTTGGGCTGGTGGGTGCATGCCTGTCGGAACTGCTGATCAACTGGAAGCTCTACGACAACAGGGTATGGCATTGGGTGCTTGCTTTCTTGATGAGTAGTTCATTTTGTTGACTCGAGATTCAACTCTGTTTGGGCTGGTGGGTGCGTGCCTGTCGGAACTGCTGATCAACTGGAAGCTCTACGACAACAGGGTATGGCATTGGGTGCTTGCTTTCTTTGATGAGTAGTTCATTTTGTTGACTCGAGATTCAACTCTGTTTGGGCTGGTGGGTGCGTGCCTGTCGGAACTGCTGATCAACTGGAAGCTCTACGACAACAGGGTATGGCATTGGGTGCTTGCTTTCTTTGATGAGTAGTTCATTTTGTTGACTCGAGATTCAACTCTGTTTGGGCTGGTGGGTGCGTGCCTGTCGGAACTGCTGATCAACTGGAAGCTCTACGAGAACAGGGTATGGCATTGGGTGCTTGCTTTCTTTGATGAGTAGTTCATTTTGTTGACTCGAGATTCAACTCTGTTTGGGCTGGTGGGTGCGTGCCTGTCGGAACTGCTGATCAACTGGAAGCTCTACGACAACAGGGTATGGCATTGGGTGCTTGCTTTCTTTGATGAGTAGTTCATTTTGTTGACTCGAGATTCAACTCTGTTTGGGCTGGTGGGTGCGTGCCTGTCGGAACTGCTGATCAACTGGAAGCTCTACGACAACAGGGTATGGCATTGGGTGCTTGCTTTCTTTGATGAGTAGTTCATTTTGTTGACTCGAGATTCAACTCTGTTTGGGCTGGTGGGTGCGTGCCTGTCGGAACTGCTGATCAACTGGAAGCTCTACGAGAACAGGGTATGGCATTGGGTGCTTGCTTTCTTTGATGAGTAGTTCATTTTGTTGACTCGAGATTCAACTCTGTTTGGGCTGGTGGGTGCATGCCTGTCGGAACTGCTGATCAACTGGAAGCTCTACGACAACAGGGTATGGCATTGGGTGCTTGCTTTCTTTGATGAGTAGTTCATTTTGTTGACTCGAGATTCAACTCTGTTTGGGCTGGTGGGTGCGTGCCTGTCGGAACTGCTGATCAACTGGAAGCTCTACGACAACAGGGTATGGCATTGGGTGCTTGCTTTCTTTGATGAGTAGTTCATTTTGTTGACTCGAGATTCAACTCTGTTTGGGCTGGTGGGTGCGTGCCTGTCGGAACTGCTGATCAACTGGAAGCTCTACGACAACAGGGTATGGCATTGGGTGCTTGCTTTCTTTGATGAGTAGTTCATTTTGTTGACTCGAGATTCAACTCTGTTTGGGCTGGTGGGTGCGTGCCTGTCGGAACTGCTGATCAACTGGAAGCTCTACGAGAACAGGGTATGGCATTGGGTGCTTGCTTTCTTTGATGAGTAGTTCATTTTGTTGACTCGAGATTCAACTCTGTTTGGGCTGGTGGGTGCGTGCCTGTCGGAACTGCTGATCAACTGGAAGCTCTACGACAACAGGGTATGGCATTGGGTGCTTGCTTTCTTTGATGAGTAGTTCATTTTGTTGACTCGAGATTCAACTCTGTTTGGGCTGGTGGGTGCGTGCCTGTCGGAACTGCTGATCAACTGGAAGCTCTACGACAACAGCGTATGGCATTGGGTGCTTGCTTTCTTTGATGAGTAGTTCATTTTGTTGACTCGAGATTCAACTCTGTTTGGGCTGGTGGGTGCGTGCCTGTCGGAACTGCTGATCAACTGGAAGCTCTACGACAACAGCGTATGGCATTGGGTGCTTGCTTTCTTTGATGAGTAGTTCATTTTGTTGACTCGAGATTCAACTCTGTTTGGGCTGGTGGGTGCGTGCCTGTCGGAACTGCTGATCAACTGGAAGCTCTACGACAACAGCGTATGGCATTGGGTGCTTGCTTTCTTTGATGAGTAGTTCATTTTGTTGACTCGAGATTCAACTCTGTTTGGGCTGGTGGGTGCGTGCCTGTTGGAACTTCTGATCAACTGGAAGCTCTACGAGAACAGGGTATGGCATTGGGTGCTTGCTTTCTTTGATGAGTAGTTCATTTTGTTGACTCGAGATTCAACTCTGTTTGGGCTGGTGGGTGCGTGCCTGTCGGAACTGCTGATCAACTGGACGCTCTACGACAACAGGGTATGGCATTGGGTGCTTGCTTTCTTTGATGAGTAGTTCATTTTGTTGACTCGAGATTCAACTCTGTTTGGGCTGGTGGGTGCGTGCCTGTCGGAACTGCTGATCAACTGGAAGCTCTACGAGAACAGGGTATGGCATTGGGTGCTTGCTTTCTTTGATGAGTAGTTCATTTTGTTGACTCGAGATTCAACTCTGTTTGGGCTGGTGGGTGCGTGCCTGTCGGAACTGCTGATCAACTGGAAGCTCTACGACAACAGGGTATGGCATTGGGTGCTTGCTTTCTTTGATGAGTAGTTCATTTTGTTGACTCGAGATTCAACTCTGTTTGGGCTGGTGGGTGCGTGCCTGTCGGAACTGCTGATCAACTGGAAGCTCTACGAGAACAGGGTATGGCATTGGGTGCTTGCTTTCTTTGATGAGTAGTTCATTTTGTTGACTCGAGATTCAACTCTGTTTGGGCTGGTGGGTGCGTGCCTGTCGGAACTGCTGATCAACTGGAAGCTCTACGACAACAGGGTATGGCATTGGGTGCTTGCTTTCTTTGATGAGTAGTTCATTTTGTTGACTCGAGATTCAACTCTGTTTGGGCTGGTGGGTGCGTGCCTGTCGGAACTGCTGATCAACTGGAAGCTCTACGACAACAGCGTATGGCATTGGGTGCTTGCTTTCTTTGATGAGTAGTTCATTTTGTTGACTCGAGATTCAACTCTGTTTGGGCTGGTGGGTGCGTGCCTGTCGGAACTGCTGATCAACTGGAAGCTCTACGACAACAGCGTATGGCATTGGGTGCTTGCTTTCTTTGATGAGTAGTTCATTTTGTTGACTCGAGATTCAACTCTGTTTGGGCTGGTGGGTGCGTGCCTGTCGGAACTGCTGATCAACTGGAAGCTCTACGACAACAGCGTATGGCATTGGGTGCTTGCTTTCTTTGATGAGTAGTTCATTTTGTTGACTCGAGATTCAACTCTGTTTGGGCTGGTGGGTGCGTGCCTGTTGGAACTTCTGATCAACTGGAAGCTCTACGAGAACAGGGTATGGCATTGGGTGCTTGCTTTCTTTGATGAGTAGTTCATTTTGTTGACTCGAGATTCAACTCTGTTTGGGCTGGTGGGTGCGTGCCTGTCGGAACTGCTGATCAACTGGAAGCTCTACGACAACAGGGTATGGCATTGGGTGCTTGCTTTCTTTGATGAGTAGTTCATTTTGTTGACTCGAGATTCAACTCTGTTTGGGCTGGTGGGTGCGTGCCTGTCGGAACTGCTGATCAACTGGACGCTCTACGACAACAGGGTATGGCATTGGGTGCTTGCTTTCTTTGATGAGTAGTTCATTTTGTTGACTCGAGATTCAACTCTGTTTGGGCTGGTGGGTGCGTGCCTGTCGGAACTGCTGATCAACTGGAAGCTCTACGAGAACAGGGTATGGCATTGGGTGCTTGCTTTCTTTGATGAGTAGTTCATTTTGTTGACTCGAGATTCAACTCTGTTTGGGCTGGTGGGTGCGTGCCTGTCGGAACTGCTGATCAACTGGAAGCTCTACGAGAACAGGGTATGGCATTGGGTGCTTGCTTTCTTTGATGAGTAGTTCATTTTGTTGACTCGAGATTCAACTCTGTTTGGGCTGGTGGGTGCGTGCCTGTCGGAACTGCTGATCAACTGGAAGCTCTACGACAACAGGGTATGGCATTGGGTGCTTGCTTTCTTTGATGAGTAGTTCATTTTGTTGACTCGAGATTCAACTCTGTTTGGGCTGGTGGGTGCGTGCCTGTCGGAACTGCTGATCAACTGGAAGCTCTACGACAACAGGGTATGGC